AGAAGTTTCTGTGCTGAGGGCTAATGTTTCGGTCGTACTCGCGTTCTTTAGACCAATTCTTTTTTTTGTGCTTCTCTGTTATCTTTAAACCAAATCTTAAGGTTTATAGAAAAAAAGCTCAATATTGTGATAAAGCTGCTCAGATAAAAGAAAATCGTTGCAGCCAGACACCTCTCTCTTTCCAAGTTAAAACTGTTGTTGTTCAGTTCGTTCTCTAGGGTTTCTTTTTGTTGTTGGTGGTGGTAAAGGCTTTCATCAAGCAGCTCTCTTCCTCTGATTCTTATTCGCAGTGAGTACAACTCACTGAAAAGCTTTTTCTGACCAAACTTCAAGTTACTGTTGAATTCTTTATGCTTCATTTCTCCGTTTCAGTATTTTTGCATGTAACTAAGTTTCCTGGAGTCTGAAACAGCATCCTTGGGTTTTGTGAGCAGTAAGGTTTGTGAAATGGTTCCCACCTGAATCTTAAACCCATGGTTGTTTGTCTGTTTCCAGGCTCACACAAGTCTTCCTGGTTGGTTCCAAGAGAAAACAAAACTATTGAGCACTCTCTCCTGTTTGGGCTTCTGCTTCTGTATTTTTGATGATCGTGTTTTTCTGTACAGTCTGTGTCCTCCTTCTGCACAGACAGAAAATAGTAAAAGGCACTTTGGATCCTTTCCAAATCGATGCAGAGATTCGATGCCTGTGCAGGCAGTGTTGGGAGTAGCAAAGGTTTAGTTCCTACTGCTCTTGTCAGGGCTACTAAGCTTTTATACTACAACTTGTCATTTTCAGGGAAGCATTAAATAACGTACCAATAAGAGGGGTATTGGTATCCATGGTCCCAGCAGCAGCTTGGTTGACTGGGACACCTTTAACTTCGTATCGTGGCAGAGTGCTCTGGGGAATGGGCTCCTTGCACAGAGCTCTCAGCTCACGTGCTCTCTTCAGGAGGACTTTGTGCCTTCAGGGAAGTTAGAAAATGTGCCTTATTTTAGGGAATAGGCACACAGCGGTGTGACGTGAAGGAGCAACCTGCTAGAAAGGGAAGGAAAAGCTAGGTCATGTTGGCTCTTAAAAACAAACTCTGGGTCTTCATAGATCTGTTTTCACTTTGAGGATGATTTCTGGGGGGAAAACCGACAGTGGTTTTCACTTTTTCCTTGACAATTGCAGGCTGTAAATGGCTTGAAGTGTTTTATGAAATAGAGATGTTTTTGCTACCTAAAAATCTGTTCTTTAGCTAAAAGATGCAAAAGAGATCTGTGGTGTAAAATAGGAGACGTCAGGATGTAGAAGGTTAGCTCTTTTGCTGCTATAAGTTGGGAGCAGTTGGTTAAAGTCAATAAAGCTGTGCAGACTTGCAGCAGATGAAGAACTGATCCAGAGGTTTTTTTTAGTCTTTCTATTAGAAAAGACTACGTGACCTAAGACTATGAACACTTTTTCCCTCTCCTGCCCTGCCCTCCCTTCCTCCCCATCAAATGTTTAGAATAGCAGAACTGAACTCAAGAGTTGTCTCTGTGCCAAATTTTAGGGCATCAATATAGTGGAAATCAATATCACTGCTAAAATATGTTCATTTTCTAAAGATTACTTTTTAAACAAATATGAGTTGGGATTATTCACTATTTCCATTATTTTAGTGGTTTTCTGAAAACTTCCTTGCTTTGTCTCAGTGGAAGTGTCTTTTCTTGAAGCTGTTACTTATTTCTACCATTTTTACTCCAGTCAGGGACAAAACAAGCCAAGTGATACTTATTTAATGGGAGGGAGAGATGCATATGTCAGCTCTTTTGGTGACTGCATACAAACAGTTTAAATATTTTGCGAAGAAATACAGGGATCCCCTTTCATATAAAGGTTATTGTTGTAGGAAAGTACCTATAAGCAGCTTTTTAATGCTTTGATACCTTACGGTATGGCATGATTTCTGTCTGTCCCAGCTGTCACCTTTGCATCTCATGTAATCATAGAATCATTTAGGTTGGAAAAGACCTTCAAGATCACCGAGTCCAACCATCAACCATGCCCACTAAACCATGTCCTGAAGTGCCTCGTCTATCTGCTTTTTGAATACCTCCAGGGATGGTGACTCAACCACTTCCCTGGGGAGCCTGTTCCAATGTCTGACAACCCTTTCAGTAAAGAAATTTTTCCCAATATCCAACCTAAAGCTCCCCTGCCACAACTTGAGGCCATTTCCTCTCGTCCCATCTCCAGCCACCTGACAGAAGAGACCAGCACCCACCTCACTACAACCCCCTTCAGGTAGTTGTAGAGAGCGATAAGGTCTCCCCTCAGCCTCCTCTTCTCCAGACTAAACAGCCCCAGTTCCCTCAGCCGCTCCTCATAAGACTTGTGCTCCAGGCCCCTCACCAACTTGGTTGCCCTTCTCTGGACACGCTCCAGCACCTCCATGTCTTCCCTGTAGCGAGGGGCCCAAAACTGAACACAGGACTCGAGGTGCGGCCTCACCAGTGCCCAGTACAGGGGAACAACCACCTCCCTGCTCCTGCTGGCCACGCTATTTCTGATACAGGCCAGGATGCCCTTGGCCTTCTTGGCCACCTGGGCCCACTGCTGGCTCATATTCAGCCACTGTCAACCAGCACCCCCAGGTCTTTCTCTGCCGGGCAGCTTTCCAGCCACTCTTCCCCAAGCCTGTAGGGCTGCGCGGGGTTGCTGTGACCCAAGTGCAGGACCCGGCACTTGGCCTTGTTGAACTTCATACAATTGGCCTCAGCCCATCGATCCAGCCTGTCCACATCTCTCTGTAGAGCCGTCCTACCCTCCAGCAGATCAACCCTGCCTCCCAACTTGGTGTCGTCTGCAAACTTGCTGAGGGGCACTCAATCCCCTCGTCCAAATCATCAAGGGACACTGACCAGACATTTGAGGAAATAAATTGGAGCTTACATTTTTAACTGAAATATATAACTTTGTAACATTTGTAACTGGAAATATTGTATCTTGAAGGACTGTCAGTATGTTAAAACTGTAAATCACTCCTAAAGGACCTAGAACGTCAAAGTTTATTTTACATTAGTAGACAATGTTTTTGTTATTTTGGAGCTCAAGGCTGCTGTCAGCTGTTAATTAATTGAGGGGGGACCAGTATTTCTCCACTGAGATAACTTGATTACTTCTGAAGTTCCTTTGAAAAGATATTAAAAAGAAGAAATTTAATGGGAAGACACCAGTTTTTCAGAGTTGTGCTCCCTGTTGCAGTGATACTTCAGCTGAAAACTTGCTTTGCTGCTCTTTTTCTCCAGGTAGAGTCGCCACGTGAAGTTACATTTCTAGGAAGCTGAAGGACTTTTTTGCCATCATCTGTAAGTATCTACCCTCAAAGTAACATTTCAGTGCGTCTGTAAACTAGAACTGGCCTTTTTCATGTCTCTGTAGTAATTATTCCTGAAAATCTTACGCTGTAGCTTTTTTTGTAAATTTTCCATGCAAATTCTTAAAAATTGCCTAAGCAAAGAGTACAAGGAGCTTGAACAGAAGTTCTGTTATTGTCTACTTGTTTACACCATTGCTTTCATACAGCAGTAATTTTTTTTCCATGTCCTCTGGGTTGTAAGTCAAAAAGGCAGTGCGACGTGTTTATTCTTCTGCTTTGCCTCTTGGGGGTCTCCCAGAGCAGAACTGTTACTGCAGCAGTCTTAATGCATAAGCTGCAGTGTGAAGATGGTCCTTGAGAATATTTCATGAAGATAACAGGGTAAGAACTTATCTGTTTCTATCTTACAGGGCAAAGGAAATAAAATTGTTGAGAATCACACGTCTGGCTAGTGACAGAGCCAGGAACAGAACATGGGTTTTGTGATCATGCCTTCAGCAGATTGCTCCCTGTAGAGAGGGAGGGCAGGTTAGTTGTGTGCACAGGGACTTACAACATCACTGGAGTCATCCAAACTCCAAAGCAATTTAGCCTGGAAAACCTCCAAATTCTTTGCTAGATTTTAGAGGTATCGGTCCCTACATTCACAAACTAGTCTTGAGAAGGTGTGAGGACAGCAAGTTATTTAAAGCCATAGATGCATAGGCGATGGATCTCGCCATGCAAAGGAGTAAGGTGGTACTTACGGAGTCCAAGAAGCGATTGCCAGTTCGGGAAAGGGTGATCTGTGCAAACTGCGCAGAGGGCAGACACTGTAATAGGAGTGTTATAGGAGATTTTTGTGTGCCTGTTTAATACTGTCCTGTCTTGGCATACAAGCCACACCTGTACACGGTTTTAGAACTCACTTCACTTACTAATAGGTAGAAACTGATTTTTGGATGCATCGCTCCGCTACACGTCACCTTGTTGACAGAGTACTGAACTGTTACTGTTTCCAGAATGTCAGTCTTCCTCTTGGCCTGCCCCTCCCAGAGTACGCTATCTGGTGGCAAACACCTTGCTATAAACTGCAAGGCACCATGCTGAGATTACAACTAAGTAGAGATTTGGTTTGGTTTTTGGTTGGGTTTTGGTGTTTTTTGTTTTGGTTTTTTTTGACCCTGAACTAATATTTTTATATTTGTGATTTTTTTTTTAAATCCTAAATTATTTATTGGGATTGTTTTATACTTGTAGCTTTTCTTGTCCTTCAAGCCTATATGCTTCACTCAGGATATTTGAGCAGGTGGCCATGCGGTTCTGTCATTGAACTGTGGCAGATACTAATGCCTGAGGTCTTCACAAAGACTGTTTAACACTTGGAAAATGAAAAGTTCCCCCTTTCTGAATACAGTACTGATATATGTATCACTTATTAATACTTTGTATACTGTTCCTGTGTTATGCAAAAGAGGTAAAAGTACCAAATGGTAACTAATTTTCATTGCCTGTAAGCTGTGTTGCGTATATTTCTTGAAGGATGGTTGAAATAAGTCTCTTTTTGGACGTGTACTTCTCTGTACAGCTCACTTGTGAGTGACCTAGGTTTGCTAATACATTTCTAATGCTCTGTTCTGTTTGGCTTTTGTTTACACAGGTTCCGCCTGTACATCTGCACTCATCTGACAAGATGGTATTTCGGAAACCACCAGATGGTGGCTGGGGCTGGGTGATTGTTGTCGTTTCCTTCTTTACTCAGTTCTTGTGTTACGGATCACCGCTGGCCGTGGGAGTCTTGTATTTAGAATGGCTGGATGCTTTTGGAGAAGGGAAAGGCAAGACTGCTTGGGTTGGATCACTAGCAAATGGAATCGGATTGCTTGCCAGTAAGTGTAGAAACAGTACCTATCTAAAATTGAAATATTTCTTTGTAATAGATGCTTTAATCTGTGTGTGCTTTCAGAATTGTTTTAAAGACAGCTGCGAATGATAGAGTGAAGATGCTGCATTTTTGTTTTAGGTCAGGACGGGTGAGAAGATTACATTTATAGTTCCACTATACATAAACCAAAGCAATACAATGGTAAAACAGCAATAAAAATATTACCCTTAGAAAATTCAAAATTATTGTATTTGAATAAAATAGAAAAAACAAACTCTGGGAAACTGAATGATAATTTTATTGATGGGATTTTTTTTTTTAAATGAGGCTTTAAGACTAACATTTGCATTAGAATCTTTCAAATCAGAGTGAACAGTCTGAAATGCTTCAAGTGCTTTAAGAAAAAAAAAAGTCAATTAATAAACCAGTTACTAATTTTTTCAGCTCTAGAAGTAAACCCACCAGTTAGGGTGGGTGAGGGCTCTTTTCTACTGTTCGTTTCAGAAAAAAATCCCTTTGAAGCCTGGAAAGTTATGGATAATAGTGGCATTAAATAAAACAACTTACTGGAAGCTTTTCTTTAGTAAGACATTGTCACTTGGAGAGTAACAGCAGGGTTTTAGGGAAATAAAACACCACTTTGAAAGTCCACAGGTCCATTCTGTTGTTGTTGTTTTAATATTGAGCATGCGTATTGTACCTGGTAATATCACTAACTTCTGCTTTTCAAAGATTCACCATGGGAACTACTATTTTTTTGCTGAATCTGGAAAAACTTGCCTGTCAGCAGAGCAATTGCTATGGGAAAAGCAATTATGTAGCTTAATGGACAAAATGCAGCTGAGGATTGTGAGGAAATCTCCTTGAAAGAAAGTTGATGTTCCAAGAGCAACACAGAGCTGAATAGAGACCACTGGTTTGTTTGATGCTGTAACTGGCCAAAACTGGTGTCACACTGGTGTTAGGGTTTTATATCTCTAGGCAGAATAAAAGTGGGCAAAGGCAGGTGGATCACTGACCACAAGAAGATTATATTCAGTCCCGGGGTAAGTGGGCAAAGGACTGTAGACTGTTCTTCCATCATACTTCTTTATTTTCCTGTTTTAAGGGTATTAACTCCTGTTATTAATGGATCAAGAACTAAATAAACTTGGGTGAGAGAATGAAGCGGGGAGGGGAAGAAGGATAAACAAGATAGCTACTGAAGAAAAACTAGGCAGAAGGGGATTGCAAGAGAAGGGGTGAAGAAAAACCCTTTCCCTGGAGACCAGAAGTCTCTGGCTCACGCCTCTGACAAAAGCCTTAGCCCCCTTTCTTGTATGTCAACACCACACTAGTTTCCAGATTTCTTAGTGCCCTCTGTCTTGCCACTGTGAGCAGTTGTCGGTAGTGTGCTTTGTAGCAAATAGAAACTTCTGTGACTGAATAATACAAATAAAGGCCGCTATTGTGATTGATTTTGGTATGAATGATTAAATTACTTGAAATTTTGACAGGTTAGGAGGAATGTTGTCTGTCAGTATACTTTTACTCTTTTAGTTTGGGATTTGGAAGCTTAATAATCATTCCTGTTTTTAATGCCTTAAAGAAAAGTACAGTGAGGGCTTTTTAATTGCATTGATGTTATCAGAGTTGACTGAAAACAAAATATATGTTCCCTGCTTTACCTGAAATGGAAGATCCCACTGTCTTATCAAGCTGGGATCCGACCTTAATGATAACTCTACTTAAAGTAAACTTGTTGAAGGACACTTAAGTATTGTAAACTCTACCTAAAACTAGAATGCTCTTGACAAGGTACAGTTTTTCATGCAGTTTTCATAGCAGGCCTTTTTCAGACCCAGTCACCAGTGTGAAGAATATATATGTTTTCAATGCAAAACCATTGATACAACACATTGCAAAGTTAGGCCCTTGTCATGAATATAGGAAAAGAGAACTTGCTTCTGTTCTTATTTCTGCTATTGCAGGTTCCAGTATTATAGGCCAGGTGGAACCATTGTGTGTTGAAGCCTATGTTAAGTAGATGATCAGGCTAATTGAATTTTTCTAGATTAGCATGTTTTCATGTATGTGAAAAGATACTATCTGTAACTTAGTAACTTAACAATCTCCCCAAGCAAGCTGATTTCAGCAGCAATATTGCATGTGTTGAATGCTAGTAACAGGAAAGCTTTACCCCAAAGCCTTCTGGTAGTCCCCTTGCCTTTTACTGTTCCTACCTTGACTCTTCTAGTATTTGTTGTTCTTTCCTTTCTCCTTCTTTATTTCAGTTTCCACTCTCTGATCTAGTTATCCAAAATCATATTTTCAAGTACTGGTACTCTTAAAGCAATCCATGTTGGATGCAGAAAATACTGTAATTCTCATTTGATTTAGAATGTGCTTGTTTAGTGCATTCTCCCCCTCTTATAAGTTTTCTCAGTAGTTAATTCCCTCCTTAAAAGTATGTAAGCTTATGATACAAGTTGCTTAGTTTTAGTGTTCAGCTGATCTTTAAGTGGTATATTTTGAAGTGCCCCTGATTTAGTGTGGTATATGTCTAGAGACTGCAGTTAAATTACTTCTAAATTTTCTTTTAAGCCTGTACCTTGATACAGTCTTCTTGCCATCGACACAAGAGACTTCCACTCTTTTAATTAAGGCTCTTCTGGAGAGCCATTAAGACTCTTCTGGGCAGCCATTAAGACTCTTCTGTGAGCCCTCTCCAACTTAACATCACCTTTCTGAAGCTGTAGATATCAGACTGGAAAAAGAATGGCAGTTATGGTAGGTTTGCACCTACATACAGGAAATAAGTTAGTGTCCATTTTCTTAAGGAAGACTTTTCTCATTGGTAGCACTGGAAATCACATTAGCTAGCTTCTGTAACAGTGGAAGGTATGCCCAGTGACTTTGCTATATTAGTGCTGTAATTTCACCAAAAAGAAGAAAATGTCCTCATATGTATGCCAGCTAGCACAGAAAAAGGTTGTCTTCTCCCTGTCCCTCTGTACATGTAGTCTTAATTATTTTTTGAAGTAGCTGATGCTGGTGAGTCCTTTCGCATTTGCTGTATTGGTGTCCTTTCCACAATGTTTACTTCTATCTTGTGTGAGAGCTAAACTTAGACTCGAGACATAGAAACCCAGTACAGCACCTTGTTTATTGAGATGAATTTCCTAGCCGCCTGGTGTTTGATTTCTCTCCTCGTGCTTGCAGCACAGACAGCATTGCTAAGGCCAGTGTTCACCCCTGAGCTGGACCATTCAGCTCATCAGCTGGAAAACGGAATGGGACAGGGACCCGGTTGATCTCTTCCTTGCAGGATGACTTGAGTTACACCTTTCTGTGATGCGACCTTACAGTGTATTGGAAGAAATGTGCCTAAAACAGTGAAAGAAAAGCATCAGTGAAATTGTACAGGGCGGTGGTGAGACCTCCTCTATAATATTAGGTAGACGCAGCACATGGCTCCATGGATGATGTAGGGCTTGTTGCACAGGAAGAAGTTGAAAGAGCTTAGCATGTTTCCCCTACTAAAACAGGCCAGAAGAGGGTATTTATTACATTGTTGAAGGTCGTGTGCTTCTCCTGCACCAAGTGTTCTTAATTTTACATCCATTTGGAGCCTGAAATTAAATTTGATCCATGTTACACTTGTTAAAAGCAAAACAGACAAAGACCTTGGAGCCTGTAATTGGCACCGCAGCTGTTTGTAGTAAGAGTTGACTTCACAGTATTTGGCATAGCAGGAGACACCAGCAACGTGTCTCCCATTCCCACTCCATTTTATTAATGGAGAAAGAACAAAGGGAAGATTCTTCCTTGAAAGGCATGTCTTGAGAAATTAATGAGGTGTTTCTGCTGGTCTGAGGCATTCAGTTTTAAATGTTTAAAGAGCTTAATTTTGTGTTTTCAAGCAATATTTTTACAACCCTAAAAAAACCTTTGATGCATCTACATGTTTTTGGACAAAAACCTTGCACATAGATAACCCCTGCTGTAAATTAGGGCAGCTTTACATAGTTTGTGGGGAGGGGAGAGGGTGTCCCTAAGATTTGTCTGAAGAGGAGCCCAGTTCATTTAATAACTTTATCAGAAAGGAGCAGTCTTTTCAACCAGTTGGGAGTGGGTTGCTGTCCAGCGTAAAAAGGCTTTTTCTGATCTGTATTCTTATCCAAAGTACAAACATTTGGAGAATATTATATTTATTATGGCCAGGTTTTAGCAATGCATTTGATAGGCAAAAAATATTCTTGTGTTCTGTCCAGTGGATTTTACGTACAGTCCATGAGCATTGCTTCTACTCTACAGTTTCAACAGGTTCGGGCAGATACCAACAAGTAAGGTGAGACAGATTAATGCAGGCGATAAGAAAAATAACTCAGTTGTCCAGTATTGTTTGTTTAGCAAAAGGTTTTATCTGTGTATGAGGTGAAGGAGGGAGGACCCTCGAAATGAGCGAGTGGAGGAAGGGTTTGTTAGTTTGCAGAATTTTTCGCTTCATGTGAGAAGATTGAGGAAGAGAGTGTTAGTTCTTGATGTCCGTCAAACAAAACAACTTTGTACTTGTCAGGAGCTCAGAAGATTGTCGTAGTTATAAAGTTCCTGTGTGAGCAGCAGATGGCTTGTTTTCACATCTCAGGATGGACTCACTCACAGCTGGATCTCACTGAGTGTGAAGTCTTTTATTCAATAAAATCTTAATGAAAATATAAATGTACAAACGATTCCTCCTAGGAGTTCTTCCTCTTTGGTCTCTCTGCATGAAGATCTGCTGTGAGAGCCCACCTTCTCTCTGCTGCTTCTTCCCATTTTGTCTAGGGATCTTCTTGACTGCTCCCCTGCAGAGCCTGATAATTGTATTACTGACTGCTGAGCCTTGACAGGTCATGTGCAGAAGAGCGGTGGCTGTCCTTGTGCTGGCTTCTAAGTCTTTCTTCCTAGAATCAGGTGTCATTCCTATAAACTGGGCTGGTATCTTTTTTTTGCAAGAGTTTGGTCTAATTTTAGGATACATCATTTGGAAGGAAAAAAGCCCCAGGGATTTTATCTGTAAAAGAGGTACATATTTATCAATGTCTTCAAATGTTATTCTAATACCAGTGCTAACCCCTGGAGCTGCTTGGCAAACTGAACAAAATGCTGGCTTAAAAGCCATTTTCCATGCTTACTATTGAGGATTGCCACTGGGTTTTATTTTTATGTTGTTCACGTTACAGTGAGAAATACATTATCAGTGGAAGGATCTTTCTGAAAGAGAGTCAGCTAATGAAAACCCTTATGCTGCCTGAAGAGCTGTTTCCTATGCGGCTGTACATAGACTCCTACATTCTTTAGAATGTCCACTTTGAACAAAATCCACAGGGCAGGAGTTCACAGAGCAAGTCTCAGTCCCACTCTGGGAAAGTTGGATGTTTGTCTAGAATTAACTGCCTTGAACCCATTGTGCTTGAATTACTTGTAGAGAATAACATGTTTGTGTACAGTGAACTCCTGTGCAAATACCATGGTAATAACCAAAGGTACTGTGCCTGGTGGAAAAAAAATGCCAGCTCTTTGGGAAACAGAGAAAGAGAAGGAATGCGAGGAGGCAGGGAAAAGAACAAAGATGCTGGCTGTCATGGGGGTTTTCTTTTGTGACTTTTATTTTCTAGCAGTATGATGAGGGGAGTGTGAAAGTAGGGCCTAGTGTGAAGGGGAAGATGGAGCTGTTTTTCTTCTCATCCCAGAGACCTATAATAACTATTTTAATACTTATACTGGCACTCCTTCTTATAAACAGGGCCATTGCTGAGCTGCCAGATCGCTTGCTGTGTGAGATGACACGTTAATACTGAGCTTATTGGAGCAGGTTCTTCAGTTTTGTGCAGGTTGTTTTCCATGTCAGAGCAAAAAGATCTCTTTGTACTTTCTGTTCTCCTTTGGGATTATTTTTTTTACATGGGAGAAGCTGGAAAAGCATCTCCTTGGACCCTGTCAGAGGTGCTTTTGATGGTGTTCCAGAGGAGAGTGTCCTTGTCAGATTATGAAGACATGTTTTTCAGCTCTGTGTCTCCCTTGTTCTGGCTTGGGGTCAGAGGGTCCAGCTTCACCTCAGATCCTCTAGTAGCCATCAGTGCAGTCTGTACCAGTACCACCACCCCAGGCTGGACAGAGACCTGAAAGTAACTGTGTTGAAATACAGAGAGGAGGTGGAAGGGGAATACTGTTTGTTTTAGCAAGGTAGTGGGTTAGAAATAAAGAATAGAAGGAGTGCAAATTCCTCTGCTTAATTGAATTATGTTATCACTACCTAATGTTCTTTTTAGTGTAGAAGAATTTTTTATGTAATACAGATTCAATCCTTTGTTTATTTTTAAATCCTGTGGTTTTAGGAAACATACCAATCTTAATTTGCCAGTTCTAGTTATTAATTCTAAGAATCAGCAGCAATCTAACACTCTCAGCTTTTGTTCTCAGCAAGTTACTCTGCCCAAGTTATTCTGGCTGGCTTTCATTCCCACAGCGTGCTGACTCTTGAGAGGCAGCAAGTGCTTGCATCTTCCTTTTTCCTCATTTGCAAAATCCAAATAAACCCTACTTCCCCAGAAGATTTTTCTCGATTCTTCTTTGACTCTTTGCCTGGATAAGCCCCAATTCAGACTTGCTTCCCTTTATGTTCCTTAGGCAGATAGCTCTTACATAGGGCAAAAGTTCTGACCTGCCTTGCCTTTGAGGATCGTTTCACCTGCTAACAAATCTGTGCTCCTGCCTGCCAGAACTGCTTGTCCCATGGCTGGTAACCACACGAAAACCTTGCCTACATTCCCAGCTGCTGGCTCCTGTCTGCAAACCTAGGCAAGCACCGTCCTCAGCTCCGACTGTTGTTCACCTCGTATCACCTCTCTGGGCTCACCTCCCATCTGCTGGGAATCTCAGTTATGTGCGAGTCAGGGAAGACCAACCTTAACAAATGGCAGACTCCAAAGTTACTGCTTTTGCAGATTGTATCGGCCATGGAGTGTTTTGTATCACTGTGAATGAGATACAAAGGGGGGGGGTTGGTTTTTAAATAGTGTCATTCATATGTGTATCTAACTTCTAATCTCAGAGTTGCTGAGTTTAGGATCTTGGGGCCAGTATATAAGTCTATGTATGAATGTTTGGAACTGCAGGGTTTCAGATTGTTTCAGATTGTCTTTTGCAAGCCAAGTCCCTTGCTGGTTGCTTATTTATGCAGGGCACCAAGCTTGCATGCTACTTCAGACTAAAAGGTGTATTCCAGGTCACACAACTGAAAATAAGTGCTTGTTCTACAACTTCTGTGAAAGAGGAACTGGCTGAGTAGAGGCAGAGTACAAATGTTGCCTGCACTTTGTTCTTGTTTTGAAGAACTAACCAACCAAGAAATATTGGGGGGGTGAAGAGAGGGAGAAACCTCTCCCGAACTTCATGAAAGTTGCTCTGGGCATTCTTATTAAATGCTTTTATTTTCCATAGTTTTACAGTAGAAACCAAGATAGGTAGTAAACAGTTATTTGGTAAAATACTGACTAGCAGGTATTTAATTCCCTAGAAATCAGGGAAGCGTAGTGTGTGTCTTTATCTGGTATATCAGCCGATATTTCCTCTATGTAAGCACCAGGTGGCATTCTTACCATGATTATGATCAGAAGTTACTATTTTCCATTTCAGTTTTATATATCTCATCTTACATTAAGGTGAATACAGATAACTGTCTTTCTGAAACACAGTTTCTGATCTCTGTCAAAAAATACCGTATATGTATCATCCTATGTTTAAAGAAGGTTTTGCTTGCTCTCCTCTTCTCAGCCCTGGTACCATTTTGTGGTCTAGATGTCAGCTTCTCCTTGAGGAAAAACCTTGCAAGCCTGATCTTGTATGTTTTTGTAACTGACCCTTTTAAAGAATCCTGTAAAAATTAGTACTCTGAATTGCTGTTTAATATAATTATATATTTAAATAATTATTGTAAGAAACATTTCCATAGATTGGTATTTTTTAGAAATTCTTCCTAGTGCTGATATTTACTAGGAATGTTTTTCCTGCTTTTCCTCTAGGTCCTGTCTGCAGTATATGTGTATCATCTTTCGGAGCAAGACCAGTAGCAATCTTCAGTGGCTTTATGGTGGCCGGGGGCCTCATGATGAGCAGTTTTGCACCTAACATATACTTTCTATATATTTCATATGGGATTGTTGTTGGTAAGATACACCTTCCCTTCATACAGAGACTTAATTTTTATTATTTTGAGTCTTGGCTTATGAATCTGAAGTGGGAAACTGATTCACAGTGGCAGTGGTAGTCTGGGACTTGATTTATCAAGGAATACTTTACTGTGGGGCGGGGAGGGTGTTGCACAGGCACACCATTACCATGTAGTGAAAGATAAAAGCAATGTGTATGTTCATCCGGGCTTGAAAACAGTTTGTCCTCCATTGATGTGATCGTTGGAGATGGAGAAGCTGAGGTTTTACCTAAGGGGTGGAATCAAGCAGGTCTTCTGCAGGTGTGAAGTGCCCATCTTAAAGGAATAACATCTCTTCTGGAATTTTGTCACGTACTCATTCTAATTTGATAAATAAGGGATCATTAGGGAGCGATGATGTTCTCCACATAACTGGACTGAACCTAAAATGCTGTGCTAGAGGCAGGAAAGTGCTGTTCCTCCTAGCAGGTGGTCACCTGCCCTTCTGTGCTGCAGAGGGCTGCTGTGGGTGGTTTATCAAATTAACTGTGTCAGGAATCCAGGCACCTCGCAGGGACCCAGCAGCGTGCTGCCTGGGGCACAGTGCCGTGCGGATGCAGCTCTGCTTTTTTCTGGGACCGGCCCCTGCGCTGAAAAACATGTAACCCTTTCACGTAGCATGGAGCCTGAGCTGGTGAACTCCTCAAACCCAGCCTGATCCACACGGGCTCTGCAGCCAGGGCTGGTCAGGGGAGAGGGAGGTGGGACGCGCAGGCAGCCTCATGGCCCTGTCAGTGTCAGGCCAGTCTGGCTGGTGCTGAGCCAGAGTTAAAAGGTACCTCTGTGCCCAGGGTACACTACTGTATTATCTGGGAAATAAAAAGGGGCATTCATTTCCCAGAGTATGTTGCACGCGTTATTTTTAACTCTTTTTCTTGAGGGCTTGGATGTGGTCTTTTGTATACCGCAACAGTTACCATCACTTGCCACTATTTTGACAAACGCAGAGGCCTTGCACTTGGTCTGATTTCAACAGGTATGGCTTTTAATTGTCATTCTTTCTAACTTTTAAAATCTGATACAGCTACCATTACCCTGGCAATAAAAACCAGGAGATTATATTTTTCTCAGTTACTTCCTGAAGTACCTTTTAAGTCAAAACATCAGTAGCAATGAACAGATAAAATCAGGCTTCATGTGAAATAGTAACTACACTTGCAGGTGTATGGTATGGATTATCCATATAGATGAGAAAAGGATATTCACTAAAATGGAGGCAGACTCATGAGTAGCTTGGGCTGTATGCCATGGGTAATAAGAGGGGAAACTTTCCCTAGGGCTCTCTTCTCCCTCTTCTTTCTTATACAAGATCAGAGGTGAGAAAGAGATTGGAGAAGCAGGATATAAATGCTGGATCACCATAACCTCACATTAGCTGTACCTTTAAAGGAGTAGTTGAAGTTTGGGCTTAGATTTTTAATATTTTTTCCTTTCCAATCTAAAAGTAGACTAAATTCTGAAATCTTCCAAAAGCTCATCCCAGCTTTTTGTCCATGTATATTAAAAGGATCCTAGAAAAAATGAACCTCTGGATAATACAAGGAAAATTCTTTGAAGGATGCTGAGCAGTCTTTCTCATCCTCTCTCTGGGTCTTTAGGTTGTGGGATGTTGTCTTTTACACCAAGAGGAATTGCTAAATTAATGGACCAAGTAGGAACTGCTAAAGGTGGCTGTTGTCCCATGCCTTGCTTTCTGTGTTTTATGGAGCGTCTCCTCTGATCTGTTTTCTCGAGTAGCTGTTAGTGAGGAGAGGCCTGGTCAGTACAGTCAGTGTTGTGAGATATTAATGCGAGATCCACACCAGTGGAATAAAGGGGAACTTCTGCCAAAATGTTCCTTGGAATAATTTTCAGTGGCTTTTGTTGGGGTTCCAGGTAGTTTGCCTTAAGGCCTGATCTTATTGAGCCCTGGTTAATTTTAGTACCTGGAAAACAAAACAAGTCTGAATTTTATAATTTTTTTTCCTGTGTTTAGCACTAAAGTCTATAAATGGCTTTAATATAACCTAGAGACAGTCTTCAGCAAATCATTTTAATTTAAAGTTTGTCTTTAAATTGACTTGAAAAAACAATGCTCTGTATTTGTGAGTGGACTCACTTCAACCGAGAGCTTTTTCTTTAAATTGGTGGGATTGCATAAAGTGCTTGTGTTCATAGTAATTGCTTACTCCTCTGTGTTTTCTTCTGAATATCCAAATTTCTCAAATGCATGTTTGGCCCTGCAGAGTTTCAGAAATGCCTTTGGAGTAAACTCACACCATGTGAGCCCCCCTCGTTAAACACCGAGCAGTCAAGGGCTGTTTCTAGGAGGGCTCTTGGTGAACCCCTGGTCTGTTCCTGCCTTAGAGGAGGAAGGTGGCGGCGAGGAGGAGAAAGGGGAAAATGTTGATGTGTGAAATTCTAACTGTGCTAACTCAAAATGGTACCTGAAGGGATACATGTATGTAAGTGCATGGCAGAAGGATGGCTTAATAGTTCCTTGATGTTTTTCATCAGATATAGTATTGATCCTACTTGTTTCTAAAGTGTCTGCTAGTGTTAATCATCATAAACTGTTCAGATATTTTGAAAAGCTTTCTATTTTGTGGATACTCAATAAAGAAGCTGTAACTTCAAGAGGGATGATAACTTGTCAGTTCATTAGACTAGGGAGAGAGAAGCACAAATGACTTACCACTGCTGTGATGGTATATTTGTAGCTGCTGAAATGTAGAAGTTTGTTAGTGTTGAAGAATGTTCTCAATTCTTCAGTTTAAACTGATCTCATTTTTCTTTTATAGGCTCAAGCGTTGGACTCTTTATATACGCAGCATTGCAGAGAGAGCTTATTGATCTATATGGACTGGATGGTTGTCTGCTAATAGTTGGCGCACTGTCTCTAAATATATTAGCATGTGGTAGCCTAATGAGACCATTGGAGTCATCTTATTCCCCTCCACCAGAAAAAACATGTGTAGACAAAGTCCCAGATCAATATTTTGTTTACCATGAAAAAGAAAAGACTGTTGAAGAAAACATAAGCATCCTTGAAAAAGGCTATGTTGATGAAAAATGTGCAAACAATATGCCTGATTACAAACAGGATAGCATTTTAAATAAGAATGTATTAAGCTCAATAAATGTAAATGAGAAAGACACTTATAAAAAGAAAGTTGTAGAACAGACAAACTTCTGCAAGCAACTCGCCAAAAGGAAGTGGCAGCTCTATTTGAACTACTGGGAGGAAACCATGGTTCTTTTTAAGAACAAAGTATTTGCAGCTCTCTTTGTTGCCATCTTGCTCTTTGATATTGGTGTGTTTCCTCCTTCTCTGCTCATGGAAGACGTAGCAAGAAGTGCAAACATTAATGAAGATGACTATCGTATGCCCCTTATTTCCATTATAGGCATTATGACTGCTGTTGGCAAACTTACTTTAGGAACACTGGCAGATTTCGAGTGGGTTAACACTTTATATCTATACGTAACTACCTTACTAATGACAGGAGTGGCCTTGTTTGCAATTCCATTTGCCAAAAGTTACCTTACATTAGCGATGCTTTCTGGGATTTTGGGTTTTCTGACTGGGAACTGGTCGATTTTTCCATATGTAACAACAAAGACTGTGGGAATTGAGAAACTGACTCATGCATATGGGATATTGATGTTCTTTGCTGGACTTGGAAATAGCCTCGGACCACCAATTGTAGGTAAGGTCAAGGTAGATACTATAAAATGAACATGAGCTTGTCAGGACCAGACAGAATTCATTAGCATGCAAGTAGTTCTAGTTGGTCCTAATAACAATGGAAAGATGAAATCAAAATCTTCAACACAAATTAAAGCCTGTTTTGCTTGAGCTGGCCAAGCTGATTGTGTTCTGGTTTTGGGTCTGATGGAAAGCACGTTTCATGTCCAAGTGGTCAAACTGCATTTTAGATTTGGCCCTTTTTTTTTGGTGGGGTTTTTTTTGTTTGTTTGTTTGTGGTTTTTTATGATGTTTTTCTAATTTACAGTGCTGTGTTACATTTAACTCCTCACTGATGCACTTCCTCTTATTTTCACTCTCAGGTTGGTTTTACGACTGGACGCAGGAGTATGACACTGCATTCTATTTCAGTGGCTTTTGTGTCTTACTGGGTGGATTTCTTCTGCTGTTGGCAGCATTACCCTGCTGGAATGCCTGTACCAATCAGAGTTCAAAGCTGCCTCCAAATACTTACTCCTACAAAGTTGCATCTAGTGCTTAGGTGACAACTGGAAAACACTTTGTGCTTTTTTATATTATATAGCAAAGTATTTTAGTAATTTTCCACTTATTTATGAAGCCCCAAAATCCTCTTCCACTAGAAAAATTCCATTGTTGCTTGTTGTTCAGTTCCTTTTTCTTCTTTTATTTCTTTTTTATTTTGTTTTTAAGAACAGTCTTATTTTGTCTACTATGCACTGTGTTTTCAGCCTTTGTCTACTGTAATTTCCTTTTACCCTGTAAGGGGTATGTTCTGCTGTATTATCAGCTGTACTTTTTTTTTTTTTAAGGGGGGTGATGTGGAGGGGTGGAAATTTTGAAGCAAAAATGAAGACCTGTTCTTTATAGGAGAAGACTGGCATTTCTGTCACCTTTTATAGGTCTCTGAGTTGCACAATCAGACTTTACAAAACAAAAATTTGCCTTATGAGAATGTAATACCATGGCAAGGTGCTTATAACATTGTGCTTAGATTAACTTTTTGTATTTTTAAAGTTTCTCCAATTTACAATGAAGTGCCAACTAGGGGAGGGAGAAGAGGGGGAGCAAAACCAACCTTGTGTTGCATAACTGAAGTGAACTTTATGATGAAAGTAAAGATTCTTACTACCACTGCAACTAAGAACTATGTTTATAAATATTGCACATTTTGTGATGTCTGTTTATAAAACTGTTGAACCAAAACTTTTTAAACCAAGGAATAAATATGATTGTTGAAACCATGAAAAGAAATGCTGACTTGGTTATGCAAGTTCATAATCTTTAGATCGAAATTGGAGATGTGCTCACAGAAGCCCACAGGTGAGTGTTCCTAGGCAAGTCACCGCAGTCTGGCAGTAATGGGGGCACCTCTTGTTGCACAACTACAGTTTAGTAGGTTGAACCTGCTGTAGAGAGCTTAGCAGTAGAGCTTTCAACAAGATCGACCTGATGAAAAAAGGAAAAATATGACAGCAGTGTCATCTTTGCTGTCATTTTTGGAATGGGCATAGCAAGGAGGAAAGCTAGTAACAGGGAGCAAGAAGAAGCACGGGAGAGGGATAACAAAAGAGGTACGGGGGAAGCTGAGGTGCAAAGAGTTGCAACATTTCAATACCAAACAGGCCGATGAAGAGAGAGCCCCTGAAATCCACTGCCTGGATACTCTCTAGCTGCAGGCTAGCTGTGTGTGTGTTGGCTTTTTGCTTTTGTTTTACCCAAGCCCCAAGGCTGGCATGATGGGGGGGATTGCTCTCTGAGGTTGAAGTCTTTCCTGAGCTGGCCAGGTGCTACAGTGAAGGCAGGATGACTCAGCTAGCGCTGCACTGCCCTGCGTGCCCTGTGCAACAGCTTTTGCTTCCATAGCTGCTCCCGCGCCAAAGATGTGGCTGGTTGCTCCTGCACAGGGGCCACAGAAATCTCCTATCCACCTGTGGCATGTGCTGCATGCTTTGGCTTCTTGCTGTGGGTTTAAAGTTGAGTGGAGCATGTTGAGAAGCCTTGGGTGAAGTAGGAGTTCGTAGTCCTGAGATACATCCTGTATGGTTGCCTGGAAATGCCCAAATATTTCTCAGCAGTACTATGTGCCTCAAAGGTCTGCTGTGATTCTGGCTCATAAATAATCCTTAAGGTAAAAAACAGGCATATAATGAGCAACCTTTATTGTCAAGTTGCTGTGCACAGAGTTACCGTGTTTGCACACCTCATTAAGCAAGAGCGATGTACCCTCTAAGTGGGGCAGACATTAAGTACAAGTAATTTTCCCTCTTCTGGTCCTAGGTAGGGAAATCCAGCTTGGCTTCAGACAGTTTTTGCTGACTGTCTGGGATTCACTTATGTAAGTTTTATTAAAACTTGACAAAAATAAAGATGCAGGCAGTTAGATTGTATTTTTATTTTTTTCCTCCATTTGTCAGCTGGGTGTAACTACTGTGTGGTTTTTTTCCTGGATTGCTTATTCAATGCCTGTGGAAAAAATATTGAGTATTCAGTATAGGCTAAATGCAACTCCAGTTCCAAATTGGAGCCCTGAGTATCTGATGTGGATTTGCACCCGTTTTATGTGCTGTATGGCAGCTGTAGTTAGATTTCACCGCACGCATATAAAAGTAGTACCATGTTTTACACATCTTAAAGAAACTGCAGTGATGTACTGGATATAATCACGGTATGTGTGCCTTCAGATTAGTATCTTTTAAAGTCTCTCACTTCCTGCCAACAATACGTTCTGAGTACTTTAAATATGAAACTGATGTTAAATTAGTTGTCAGTCTGTTTGAAAAAATTCAGCTGGAATTAATGATTGGGCAATATGTAGCACACTTTTGCAATGGAAATGAAGTCTATTATTAGGCAGCTTGATATGTTTGGAAATATGATTGGTGACCTGTGATAGTTTCCTGATGTAACCCTACCCATCAGTGAGGAAAGAGCCTTGGCTGTTGAAGAATTTTGTATTGCCACTGCAGGCAATATCTGTTAGGACTCCTTGTCCTAGACAGTTAGTTGAACACTGTGACCATACTAATCTTGACTTGAATCGATAAACAAGACCTAAGATTTAATGTTTCGTTTTTTTGCTTTTTACTTGTCTAGTTTTGCAGGGTTCCTTTCCAAGAAGATAATTCCAGAGATGCTGCAACTTGAGTATTATCTGAGAGCCTTTCCTTCTTCTGTCTGGCATGCTTCATTCAAATCGGTCCCTAGGTTCAAATGGTTTTTTGGAAGCTGGCAGGAGAGGTACAACGTGATTATCTGTGTCTCATTTGCTTGAAAAGCAGGTCATCGGCATTGACAGGGTGGCAGAGTTAGGTAGGTACACAGTTCTGCCATGTAGAACTAAATTGAGCATCCTCTTGAGTTTTGTAGTCCCTGACAAACTGATCTGGAACAGAAGGAATGAGATGCTTAAATAATTACTCTTTATTGTAGAAGAAAAAGTTATTGCTTATTGCATAAATTAATTGGTTACTGTGGAGCCAGTCACGAATAGAACATTTATCTTCTTATTTGTAGATCTTAAGAAAATTTATTGTAGTTACCAAAACACAAGACAAATGAAACTGCTAAGTTTTATTAGATTTAAAGTCTGTTCTGTGCCTTGTTCAACTGATGGTCTTTATGGTTAGCTGCAGAACTCCATTACATTCCTTTGGTAGCTGTTAACTTGTCTACATCATGCTGATACTGGATTCCTGCATCACTTACTGATGTTGAACAATATGCTGAGTAAGGGCTACAGATCACATGCTATAAAAATTGAGAGATTTGCATAGTGTTAAACTGACACTAAGGTATTTCTTTATTGGAAAGGTATTTTACTTAAGGCCTTTCACATATATATGTGGTGAATATGTTGGGCTGAGCATGATAGTGGTCAGATTAAAAATGGCAAAATGATAAAAGATAAAGAAATTGGACAGGTGTGTCAAAGTGAGTGGCAAAAGCTGCTTTCTCCTATGAAATAGAATTCCTCTGGTTCAAAGGACTTATTTCAGTGATGTTTTGCTGTAGACTCAATTATGCTGAAGAGCCAAGTTAAAGACTTGTCAGTCTTCTTACAAGAAATAGTCTTTAGAGTCACGTCAGTGTGCTCTCTGTTTACCAAAATCCATTTTGCTTTTTACATTTTTTTGGGAAAGAAAGATATTTGTGCTTTTAAATGATGGCTTTTAAACAATTGAAAAGTCTCCTCAGAAACCAATACGCATACTCATTTTGTACCATGCTATATCATGTAAGGATTTTGTGCAGGAACTAAATTATTGAGTCATAGAATGATTTGAGTTGGGAGGGACCTTTAAAGATCATCTAGTTTAACCCTGCTGCCATGACATAGTGATTTCAAATTTCTCTAAATAGCTGGTCTGTTTCTGGGGTTTTGTCCCCTTCATGGCTCTGTGGGGAAGGCTTGACTCCTTTCTTTTATGTCCTCATTGTAAGGCCTCACACTTTCTGCAACAGCTTCTTATGTTATTTTTCTTTAGTTTGTCCATAGTTTTTTGCAACAACACTGTTAGTCAGCTTTAGCTATCTTTATTCAATGTACGGAGTATTTGTTTGCTTGAGTTTTTCTCATTAGTATTAAATAATCATATCAGTCCAAATTGACTTTATTAGCCCTCAAATCATTTCATGTTGCCAGAACCTAGAGGCCAAGATGTCTGAAATGAGCAACTTGCTGAAATTCTTGGCCAGAGCTATAGAAACAGAATAAACTATGACTGGTATGAGTGCAGATCTCTCAACTTCTCTGCCTGCAGATGCTCAAGACTTAATGAGGAATGGGAGTCTTGTGCATGTGCGATAATGAAGAGTGAAGACAGGACAAATCTTTTGGCTCCAGGGTCTCACTGCTGTGCTTTCTTCTCTTTAGGTCTCCTGTGTCAGGTGCAGCTTTTGTGCTGTGTGCGCTGCAGTTTTATGAGCTAGCGTAAGGTGAGAGGTAGAAGAGTCACATGCCTGGAGTGTGAGATCTAATACTTGGGTACCTCCAGTCTCCTCACTTAGTGTGCAACAAGGAGTATCATGCGATGTTCCGTCATCAAACACCTACCTCAGGAGTCTTCAAGGGAGCATCCCTGCTCCTGTTACTTGCTGAGCCTCAGTGCTGCTGCAGAGGGATTAAGTACAGCGAGTTTTCCAGGCCATAGTTTAAAGTTGTGTTTTCTGCCAGTGGAAGTGCTTGCTGAAGGCATCCAACAGTGCATCATTGTGGGTGCTGTGTTGTAAATGCACTCAGGGAACCTCTGGAAATGCTTTTTTTTTTTTTCTAACTGAGATCAGCTTGTTTTTGCAGTGCGGGCTCACCGGTAACTGCTAGCACAACATGCCGTCGTGCACTGCAGCGCATGGGTGGGAAGGAGCTTGGAGCAATTCCTTTGTAAGCTGCCCGTGTGGTTGTGCCCCTGTGCGGTAAGATTGCAGCAAACGTTGTTCGCAGCTGCCTTTGGCTTCAAGCTTAATCTTACTCAGTCATAGTTAAACTTGCAAAAACATTTTCTTTTAGTTCAAATTAATGTTTATTTTCCCCATTTCTCTCATTGCAGACTGAAAATCATCCAACTAAACTCTCTTTCCTTCTTTCCTAGTGTCTCAGCTCATGCTGAAAAGTAAACATGTTTTCAGTGATTAACAGCAATGACTAGATGTTGCTGAGTAACAAGATGAATACCTACTCCCCTGTTCTGTAAATGGCCAGTGCTCTGACCAGCTCTACATTTACAGATCATATCTAGATTGTGTAGGTTTCTTGTGGTTATAACTTTAAAATTTGATATATGACGTGCATATCAAGTTGTATTAGGTCATACTGTCTTCTGTTAGAATCAAATTACTTTGCTGTTTAATTAAAATGTCCCTGGGTTAGAGTGGCTGTCTCCTTGCTTGGCATTACTTAGGGGACTGTCTTTGCAGATCAGGATAACTGAAATCACCCGGTGTGCCTTGAATTACAATAAATACTGTGTATGAGGTCATGCAAGGGTTCATAAGAATTCTTTAATTAATTAATATGTGCTTCCAATAAAACAGGGTTATCTGGAGGTGCTGTCAGGGAGTAAGGAACAAAAAATTACATTTACGAGACTGGGCTTGACAATCTGGTATCTCCCCAGGTACGGTACCAATTATAG